ACAAATCTTACAATTGTGTATGATGGACCGTATCATGTTTTTCACCCACGGGATCCAATACTGCGCTCGGATGAGGCGCAACATCAGCTGATTTTCTCCGTGTAAGGAAAGTTGATGGACAAACTGGACGAAGATACGGGACAACCTGCAAGTATAGGGAAGAATGATAGGATGGCGTTCATTGTAGGACAAGTCGCGAGATGCGCCAAGACGACCACCCGCCCTCATAATGTCATCTTTGTCGATAAACGGGTTAAGAGGCAGGACTTCACTTTTTCCGTCGATGGATTTTCCAGACTTTAACCGTATATATTCTTCGTTGTAATATTGCTTTTGACAAACCTTTATCAAGCGTTTAGTCGTTGCCTTAATTTCGTCGGCCGAAATTAAGCAAGACTCCGCCGTAAATGAAGCTTTTGTTTTTGGATGTGTTCTTTGGGAAAATCTCACGATGTAAGATATAACTCTCAAAGCCCGTGAAAAATCAGAAAATCGAACAAAGAATGTCGGTACAGTCGTTTACCTTTGTTGGTGCATGCGCATGCACCCTTTTTTCTTCAATGGTTGTGTCGTAGTCCGATTCTTGTGCTGGCCATTTTGAATTATCTTCTTGTAGCCAAGAAGGACCCTGCCACCACAAGTTGTTGACCAGTTCGTTGGCCGTCAGTCCCCTGCTAGCCAGATCTGCCGGGTTGGACGCCGAGTCCACGTGACGCCAATTTTTGCTTCCTGACTTCTCTACTATTTTTGTTATTCTGTGAGCAACAAATTTTGACCACGAGCACGGAGGTTTTCGTATCCACGCTAACACTATCGTTGAATCCGTCCAAAGATTAACCTTTCAATGGTCGAAATTGAGGTTATCGATGACTGCTTCCATTGTTTCTGCAAGCAGAACTGCGCCACATAATTCCAATCGGGGCAAAGATATTGTTTTAACTAGGGCTACTCTTGTTTTCGCTATGAGTAGATTGACGAAGATTTTGTCTTCAGTCTTAACTCTCAGAAAAACGGTAGCCGCATACGCTTTTTCCGATGCATCACAAAACCCATGTATTTCAACGTCGTCAGACGGCGAGAAATAGACCCATCTTGGTATGCGGATGTTATTGATCTCGGTGTAATCATTCACAAATGCTTGCCAACGATCCATGGTATTTGAGGACACAGTTTCGTCCCAATCTGTTCCTTCTAACCAAATGTTCTGCATTATGATTTTGGAAACGATTATGACTGGTGCCAGCCAACCGAGTGGTTCGAATAGTTTGGCGATTGCTGAGAGTATCGCCCTTTTCGTAAAAACGTCTCGACTTTCTATGGATTTTGCTGAAAAGTAGAAATGATCTGAGTGGGCATTCCACCTGATACCAAGAGCCGTTACTGTACTGGTATCTTCGAACTCCAGAAAGTCTTCGCTGAGCAAGTGAGGTTTTGGTATTCCCTTTAAAATTTGACTGCAGTTCGAAGTCCATTTTCGCAGTGGGAAACCAGATTACTGCAATACTTGTGAGATTTCATCTCGAGCTCTTATCGCGGAATCGATGCTATGTCCACCGGCGAGTACGACGTCCACATACATGCATTTTCGCAATATGTTTGCTGCGATTGGATAAGAGCTCTCTACATCGTCAGCAAGTTGATGTAATGTCCTTATAGCGAGGTACGGATTTTGGCACAGTTAATGCCAAAGGTCACCGTTTTCAGTTCGTATAAACTGACTGGCTCCTGTGGGCTGGTACGAAATACTATTCATTGGTATTTTCTTTGTTTATTATTTACCAGAATTTGCCGATACATCTTTTCGATGTCGCTGTTGAATACATATTTAAACAGTCTCCAACGGAGGATCAGGATGGTTAAATCGGCTTGAAGAATTGAACCGGGATGGAGGACGTCATTTAAGCTCGCGCCATTGTCGGTAGGGCATGAGGCATTGAATACGACTCTGACCTTTGTACTGATGCTTTCTTCCTTCAAAACAGCGTGATGAGGTAAGAAATAACAGTCAGCTGAGTCTGCTGGCACGTTATCAGATATTTTAGACATATGCCCTAATGTCTCATATTCCCTCGAAACCCGATTATATTCCGTTTGCAGGACAGGGTTTCTCGCTAGGCGCGTCTCGTTCCGGTAGAACTGAAAGCAGGCGCCTTTCAGCGATGGTCCTAAGGAAATGTTGTTCGGATAGTCCTTTTTGAAGGGTAAAGACACGATGTATATCCCTTCTGCATTCCTCTCAGTTGTAGTTTTGAACAGTTCTTCGCAATAGGTGCCGTCGTCACTAATACCTTTTTTCTTAGGAATATCCTCCAACTCCCAAAAAGCGGTTAACTGTTTTTCCAGGTTGACTTCATTGTAAAATGATAAGATATTGTTGATTGGATTCGATGCTTCCGCACAACCGGTTAAAATCCAACCGAACACGGTCTCTTGGGCGAGAAGCGTTTTTAATACGTTCTTTTTTATGCCGCCTAAAATGATCTGAGGGTATATGTCTCCTCCGAGTACGAGATCCACTGGTTCATTAATGAAGAACCTCTTGTCCGCCAAGACCAAGTCTGGGAATGCTTGCCGAGTCATTGCGCTTACTTGGCAAGTCGGCAGATCTCCTGTTAATTTTGGTAAAACCAGTACAACAGCATCTATGCTTATTAATGGGTCTGTGGGCAACCGCAATTGAATGGCGCACGCTTCCTTTACCTGCGCAGATATTGAATTATTGATGCCCGAGACTTGCGCATGCAAGCGTTTTGAAGGCAGGTTAATTCTGCGTTTAAGTCTTTCAGTTATAAAAGAGCATTCAGATCCCGAATCTATCAGTGCTCTGGCGGAGAAATTAACACCATTATAATGTATTTTTACGCGCGCAGTTCCTAGTAGCACTCCTTTGTTTGTATTAGCAAAGCAAGAGTTCACATTTTTAACTGTTTCGGTATTTTCTTTTCCAGAGTCCCGTCTTAACTGAGCCTGCCTTGAAGTTTATGCGCCGTCACCTGAGGGGTTCGGAGCTCCCCTACGATCTGTTGCTTTTGGCTGAACTGCTTGTTGTAGGTGGAGCAACGTATGATGCCTTGAATGGCACGCGCTACAATTGAAGGGACTGGTGCACCTTGTCACCGTATGTCCGGCTGACAAGCAATTCAAACAACGTTTATTGCTCTTGACGTACTCAATTCTGTGGGAAGGGGTTAACTTGCGGAATCTTTCGCAGTGTCGTAACTTATGCTCGCTATTTTGACACACTGTGCACAATTTGGCAACTCTAGCTTGAAAAGCGCCAAGTCTCTTTGGAGGTGCTTCCGGCATTTGCCGTGTGTTTTGGGGCTTAGGCGTCTTAGCTGTTTTGTTGCCCTTGAGCCCTGAAACGGTTTCTAATGTCTGAAACCGATTGGATAAGAATTTATCCATATCTTCCCATTTTGAGATCTCTGTTTTGTTCTCTATGGTTTGTTCCCACAGAGCCAGTGTGCATTCTGGCAGTTTCGTCGAGCATAAATACGTTATAATTGCATCCCAATTAGAAATGTCAATCTGATGACATTGAAGGGACGAGATGCAAATTTTTATGTCCCGCTGCAGTTTTTTAATAGAGCTATCGCATTCGCTCTCAACTGCGTTAAAGTTGAATAAAATTTTTAATTGCGTATTGACCAGAATACGTTTATTCTCGTATCGGTCGCTTAAATTTTTCCAGGCTGTTGAAAAGCCTTCGTTAGTTAAAGGACACCTTCGCACGATTTCTTTAGCTTCACCTTGAGTTTTCTGATTGAGATGGAATAGTTTCTCAACAGGGGTAAGGCGCTTATTGAGAATGTTGATGGCCGTAAACATATCTCGTGAATGATGGCCATGAAAGATAATCCCCTTTGAAGATATCTGTGTCACAGGGAGGCAGATGAATGTTGTGCTCCCGAACAGACACATCTTCATTTTCTTTCTCAATTTTCGCTAACTTTTCTAAATCAGACGCTATTGCAGCCATGCACTTCATATAGCAGCCAAAACTACTCTAATTTTTGGCTTTTACAGATAGTCTATCCTCTCTTGTCAAATCGGTGTTTATGAGGGCTTCATGGGCTGATTTTGTTTTCTTCCACATGGCTCTCAGCTCCTCTTGCTGTATTGCAAGTGCATGCTTATTCTGATCTTCGAATGGCGTACTGTTGTAGTCACTCTCAAATTCGGTTATGGCATCTGCCAATCGAATGAAAGTTTCCATTTTTTGGATGTTAGAGCCCGGTAAATTTGAGGTAAAAAGTTGTATAGTTCGTGGTACTACTGATAAAAATCTGACCGCAGATTTGTTGGGTTAGAGAATTATTACCACGGAAAACACAGAGATAGAAATCTGATCGCAGATTTAATGTATGTCTAACGAAATTTAATGCTCAAAAACTATTTGAACTTTTTCACCCGAATAGCCACACCAAAATAAATCTTTCACCATGCCAGCAAATTATTACCACTATCCCAATAATAAGATATTAGTTTTTGGTATCCATGTACGTATTTATATCAAAACTACTTTATTTATTTTCAGCCAAAGGATTATAGTGTGTACAAGTTTATGTTTATGTTGACTTTCGTTTAAAAAAACGCTCAAAGGATTTGTGTAAATATGTACGTGCAAAGTAAGATAAAAATTACAATATGAATATGAATATATATATATGAATACAGTGATCGCGCAAATATACAGGAGGAATCACTTGCCTCCCAACTTTTCGATGAAAAGTAAAAACAGTGTATGAATATTTAATTATTTTTAGCCGCCTCGATATTTCAAGTTTAATTGGCGGTTAAAAACAGAGGTGTTTTGTGCTTTAATACGCGCAAGTGAATATTGTGGAAGTGAAAGAAAAGGGGGGTCAGTGTTTGATTGTGACTGCAACGGAAATCGATTGCAGTATTGAAACTGAGTGATATTTGTGGGAAGTCCAAATTAATGGAAAAATCTCGAAAAAAAAACCGTCAGCAACAGAATAAACTGTGAAAGCCGATAAGTAATCTGCGCTTTGCACTTATGAATTTATAAGAAGTTATATTAGTGTGTGTGCTTCAAGTTGACGAACTCAATTTTACACTAACAATACTGTGAGTGATTTAAAATGGACTTTCTTCCCGCTCGTATTCATGTGTATAATGAAAAAATGCAATGACTTTACCCTTTTCTTTCGTGTTTCACAACTTCCCGCGCGGTTTTTTATTTTTTTATTTTTTTTTTTATATGTTAATTTTTATAATAAAAAGTGCACTGGAATTCAACCACGTACCTTTCTAATGGCTGAATGTGGGGTCCAATGGCAAGTACTGGTTAACTCCTTAGGGCCGGTTACTCAATGTCTGGTTAACACTAATCTCCGGTAAAACATCGTTATCGACGTTACCGACTCCATGTTATATGCATGGAGCCGAACACGTCGATAATGATGTTTAAACGGAGATTAGTGTTAACCAGACATTGAGTAACCGGCCCTTAGTGTTGTGGACGCTTCAGTGGCGAATGTGGTTTTGAAAAGCTTGGTTAGTGATTGTTGCAACCGATGCTGTGGTCTGGCAATTAGGTGTGCCTCTTGTAGCTCAGTGTGATAAAGTAGTGGACTGTATGTAGTTTGTTGCACTGTGTTAAAGATTTTATTATTTCCACAGATCGCAGGGACCAATATTTACGCCACGGAGTGGAGCGCTCAGACGTAAAGGAATAAAAAAGGGAAGAAAAACAACTCGGTTTTAGTGTTGAGTATATAATTGATCTTACAAATTTATTGGCAACAGGTTGTGAAAATACAACGCAATATTGTCTGGTGGATTTTACCTTGATGTGGCGTGATAGCTGGTGATCCTTTGGAATTCCTGAGGGAAGTGACCATGGTAAATTGAAATTAGATCCGTTTGACCCGCCGAACAATGACTTTTCGTTCAGTTTCTCCTCAAATCAGTTATTGTACAACGGGTAAATTAGACGCGTATGCGTATTAGTGAATATAACTTTAATTTGTACAGATCCACGCGCATATGCATATGTACATGTATACGTGTATGTGCATACGGTCTATATTACCGCCCATTAGGGTGGTGCGCTATATTTAGGCCGGAGGCCTAAACAACTGGAGTATGTAACGTTTATTTGGAGGCCTTACACTAAAATTCTATCTAACCGATTAGAACGTGTTCAAAAAGTTTTTATAAAATTTTTCTTTGCCACTACCCTCTTACTATTCCCGCTGCCAACTAATCAACCTTACAACACTGGATGACAGATGACCCATTTTAGCGTGCACGTTTGTCGTTAACATCATAACTGGCTCAATTGACTGCCCTTTTCTTCTAGAAAAGATTGCATTTAATATTCCTCCTAGAATCCTCCGCCATTGCGATTTCCTTAAACTAAGTTTCCCTAGAAGCAGTTATGGTGCCAACGCTCCGATCTGTGGAACTTAACTTCTAGCTTCAATTCTTTAGACGTTGATTTCACTCAGGCCCTGCCTTAGTCACACATCTGCGAACATTTTTCTCTGCGCTACATCATTAGCGATGTTGCGAAAACATTAATAGTAATACGAACCTTGTTATAAAATTCAGGTTAAGTTAAAAACCGCGTGTCTTT